CCCGAGGGTCCGTAGGAAAATATGGGACTTGGGCGTATGCTCGGAATCAAATTTCGAGGTCCCAAGCCCGAGAAATGAATTTTTAAAGAAAATTTTTTCTGAAATTGTTTAAGGGATTTAGAAATGAATTTTGATTAGAACGTGTTGGTATCGGGCCCGTATTTTAGTTCCTGCGCCCGATACAGATCTTATATGTGATTTAAGATAATTATGTGAAGTTTGGTAAGAAACGGAATCCGTTTGACGTGATTCGGACCTTAAATGCAAAATTTGATGTTTTATGAAGTTTTGAAATATTTCATTGATTTTGAGGTTTAATTCATGGTTTAAGAGGAACTTCACCATAGCTTCATAGGTATGTAATCCTAAGCTCATTTTCTTCCATTTTTATCAACACCCACTAGATTTCTAAGCCTAAAACATGAGATTAAGGGTAGAAAATTAGGGATTTGGGTAGAGTTAGGGCTTTTTGATTATTTGGGAATTTGACCTCGTTTTGGGGTCAGATTTCAAAACACAATATATATTCGGGCTCGTGGGTGAATAGGTAATCGGATTTTGGTCCGAACCTCGTGTTTTGACCAAGCGGGTCTGGGGTCAATTTTTGACTTTTTGGGAAGAATGATGGAAAAGCTATAATTAAGCATTGGAATTGGATTGTTTTGCGTTTATTGATGTTATTAAGTCGATTATGTCTAGATACAATTAATTTGGAGTCAAATTCAAAAGGAAAGGCGGTGTTTGAGGCTTGAGTTGGCCGTGGAAGTTCGAGGTAAGTGTTCGGTCTAACCTTAGCTTGAGGGATTAGGAGTTGTGTCCTATTTTCTACTTGCTTCTTGTTGAGTACGACGTATAGGCATGATGACGAGTATCTATATGTTGGTGTCGAGCATGACCATGAGTCTTAAATTGTAATTTATTGTGTTCTCAAATAATATTACGGATGCTTTAGTTGATGACTCTCTCTAATGGGCAAGGATTATAAATATTCTCGTGGAAATTACTTATAACTGAGTATTGGTGTTATCTGAGGTAGTTAGATGTTGGAAAAAGTTTGGTTATAGTTGTTTCTCCCTTGCAGGGATGTTGTTACTTATACTATCGATTTCCCTTGCCCGGATAGTGTAGTTCTTATTGATCCCTTGTCGGGACTCTTGCCATGATTGTTGTTGATATTATATGTGGATCAGGTTGCATGCCGCAATAATGATATATATGGATCGGTTTGCACGCCGCAACAATATTATATGTGGATCGGGTTGCACGCCGCAACAATATTATATATGGATCGGGTTGCACGCCGCAATAGTAACAAATGATATGGATCAGGTTGCGCACCGTAATAGTGTTCTTATATACTGGGATCGGGTTGCACGCCGCAACAATTGCTGATACAAAGTGTTGTAGATTGGATACAAGTTCCTTGTTGTTTTGCTGTGAAATCTAAGTTGTTCTTATGCTATTACTCTTGATGTACTGTTGTTATTGGTACAACATGTACCTCCTCCCATCTTTACTTGTTTATTTCTGTTTATTTTTCGATGTATATTGTATAACTGCACAGGTTTATTTGGTAATCTGGTCCTAGCCTCGTCACTACTTCGCCGAGGTTAGGCTAGACACTTACCAGCACATGGGATCAGATTGTGTTGATACTACACTCTGCACTATGTGCAGATCCCGAAGTAGCTCTTGGACCATAGCATTTGGGTGGCTGCCTTCAGTCCAACTAGGGATCCCGAGGTAGTCCTGCAGGCGTCCGCAGGCCCGACATTCTCTTCTATCTCATTATGTGTTCTGTTTCCACTTGTATTCGAGACAGATTGTATTTCCTTTTCAGACTCTTGTATGTAGTACTCATAGACAGTCCGTGATATTGTAGCACCGGATTCCGGGTAGAGGCGTGTATTGGCATTGTAGTACTGGCTTTGGTTATTTTTATCAGTTTAAGTCTTCCGCTTGTTCTATTTATCGTTAATATTCAATGTTGATTACCTATTAATTCATATTGTTAAAAAAGGTTAAAAATGAAAGAGTTAGTAATTTTTATATTTCGCGGCTTGCCTAGCTACTACGAGTAGGTGCCATCACGACTCTCGAGGAGGGAAATCCGGGTCGTGATAATGACTTATGTGTTAGAGAGCTCGGATAGGAGTTTTGATGGTTCGGATAACTTCGGGAGGTGATTTGGGACTTAAGAGCGTGATCGAAATGAGTTTTGGAAGTTCGAAGTAGATTTAGGCTTGAATTGGCGAAGTTGGTATTTTGGTGGTTTCCGGTTGATAAGTGAGATTTTGATATAGGAGTCAAAATGGAATTTCGAGAGTTGCAGTAGTTTCGTTGTGTCATTTGGGATATGTGTGAAAATTTTCAGGTCATTCGGACGTGGTTTGGTTGAGTTTTTTTATCAAAAGCGTAGTTTGGAAGATTTTGGAAACTTAGGCTCGAATCCGATGTATTTTGGTTGATTCGATATTGTTTGAAGTGTTTTGAAGATTGATACAAATTTGAATAAGGTTATGGGATATGTTTGTGTTTTTGGTTGAGGTCCCGGAAGCCTCGGGGTGATTTCGGATGGTTGACGGAGAAGTTTGGAATTTTGGTGAGCTACAGATTTTCTGCTTCTAGTATTTCCGCACCTGCGGATTGGGGACCGCAGGTGCGATACCGCAGTTGCGAGAAGGGAGGCCGCAGAAGCGAAAAATGCCTGGGAAGGCAGGAACCGCAGATGCGGTTGTGGGACCGTACCTGCGAAGGCGCAGGTGCGTAGTGTTCATCGCAGTTGCGAAAAGTTGGAACTTAACTGATGCTTTTCGTGAAGTTAATTTGAACTAAAATGACTTTCACATGCCTCTACTGGTTTACTGTTTTTACCGGTTTTACTGCTTCATTATAGCCTGTAATGTGCCTTACGTGATTTCCTGCTTTCAGTCTTTATTTATGATTATTACTCACTGAGTTGGAGTACTCACTTTACTCCCTGCACCTTGTGTGCAGATTCAGGCGTTGTTGATCCTGCCAGTGCGAGTTGAGAGCTCCCGACAGACTTTGGAGTCCACAAGGTAGCTGCTTGGCGTCTGCAGTCCCATGTCTCTCCCCCTTTACTATTCTATCTCTTATCGGACATTTTGTAATAGCTTATAGACTTTTCAGACTTCACTTCAGTTGCTACGAACCAAGATCGCAAAAATCAATGTGTTATGTAAATTTTATATAGTTATAATTTCTAACAATGTATTTATATAATCAATCTGGTTCGGCTTTTTCGATTAAGTTTTGCTTAAAATCAAATAATTAAATTTTATATGTTCTTAAAACTAAAAATATCAAAATCAAATCAAATAAAGAATATCGATTTTTTTCTATGATTTGATCCGTTTTATGTTTAGTTCAATTTACCGTGAACACCCTTTGTTTAACATTTTATTTATGCCAAGATAGTTAAATCAGTTTTTGAAATAATTCTTTTGAATATTGTATTATTATAGTACATATTTCATATAACTTATTTATAATATAAAGTCACCCAAAATTGGGATACGTTCTAAAATAAAGTTTCATTTTAATATTATTTTCACAAGCCAAAGTTTCTTTTTACTACTATTTTACATAAGTTGGTTGTAGATTTATAGAAATAGAATTAGTGGGAGAGAGAGATAAAGGTTAGGGCTCGAAGAAAGTTTGGGAAAAGGCACTTCTCCACTTCCTAATTTTTTGGGATAATCTTTTCTTTAGCATGATAACTCTTCAATCTCGTCCATACCCATCAAACTCGTCGATACCCACCATATAAAATTTCACAACACTGTAAAATGGAGAAAGAAACTGTCTTTTGGCGCTGGATTTTGGGATTTTTGGCTCCAAACGAAATTCAGGATAACTACTATATATATATATATGAGAAAAATGACTGGAAAAAATACATTGCAAAGTGAAGCAAAATTTCTGAACAGGTATGTATCATTCCACCTACTCTATATTTGAATAAGATTCAATAGATTGTAATTTGCCACAATCATATATCGAATTATTAATTCATTAATTATTTGTGGCATAGACATTGAGATGCCTTTATTTTGTCTCATATGATTAATCTAGACGAGAATAAGTCAATTAGAAGATTTTGAAACAGAAACTCTCTAATTTACTATATATATTTATAGTTTTTAATTTACTGTATATATTTATGATTTTGCGTGTGTGTATTTTTACAGTTGGTGTGTGGCATACAACTAGTGAAGCATGTGTGTATTGAAGGGGAAATATTAGGGATTATGTAGTCATCTATTTTGTGTATATATCTTGACATTTTCTGTCTGGTTTTGAGGGAAGATCGGATGTATTGTGGAAATATGGTATTAAAGCTTCTGTTTGACTCAAATCATGCTTCTTGGTGGCCCTTAGGAATTTGTTTGATCGGATAATGGCACTTTAAATTCAGATGAATCGAATTTTAAGGTGAATATTATGTAGGGTAATTTATATTGTTGTTGAAACCAGTAAATATTTCTTCACTAGGCTCAATCTTTGTCAGACACAAAGCTTCTTTTAACTCTGCCGCATGTATAAGTTTTTGAAAACATGGTTTATGTGCCTTCAAATTTAATTTTTTTTTTGCATAAGCAGATCTTTTTGGTATGTTATACTAATTACTTAAATCGGCTAGTGATGCTTCAATAGTTCAATAAATATTAGGAGAAGAAGACAACTCTTATTAGGAAATGATGTGCATCAAGATTGATGATTTATGTTTTTTTTGAATTTTCCTTTAGTTATTTCTAATTTTTGGTTTATTAAACTAACCGATATTACATCTAATGAATATACTAATAGAATTCTACAAATCAATGGCACCAGGCGGACGTGTCTCTAGACAAACCACAATTACATGTGCTTCTACTCAAGCAAGTCGATCATCTGGTCCATCAAATAGTAATAATTCTACTCCTAATACAGGTAATACGTACCTTTTATTATATTGACTAGGAGTGTATTTATTAGTATTGTTTGTTCTCCTTTATTCTGATGCTTATTGCGTATTGTTGTCAGTATACTCCTATTTTTTGTTGTTTATTCTTATGAATCTTTTTTTTGGCTTGTTCTGTGCATTCCATGTGGTTTTTCTATATGCAACAACTATATCCTGCACTTTCTAATTGCACTTTCTAATTCAGACTTTTGGTAGTACTTATTTAACTGAAACCTTTGATGTAAAGTTGAAGTAATTTCTTATGGTTGGGTCAATTCAATTCCAATTCGAAGGTATATTCGAGATTTTCATTTCTGTGGAAGTCATTATCTGATAAATTACATTGCACCCATTCTTTCTTATTGGTTTTAGTAGATACTAAGGGTAGCCAAGAACTGCACACCTACTGCAAAATTATTCTTGAGTTTATCTTAATAAAACAAATGGATTATGTTTAAAAGAGGGGATGTAAACAAAGCTATTTGAAAGTGCAAGATCCGAGGAAGAGGCTCGTAAAATTGAAGTGCCAGAGTTGACCCCGAAAAATTGGAATAGGCTTTGTGATATGTGGGCGAATCCAAAGCATAAGGTAATTTCTATTCATATTTGTCTCGTTGTAATTTTTTCTAACAACCAACATTCACGATTTCTCCAAGAAAAAGGTAATTTAAGTAATTAAGTATACGAATAAACAAAATGTACAAAAGATATTTTCAACATCATGTTTTTCTCTACTTTATAGCCGCAACATTCATTCATGGATGATATATCTTACATTAATATGAGTAGGCCCTTCAAAATTTGCATTTACAGAAAGAGTGAGAAAATAAACTTGAAGTAAAAAAAGAGAAAAAAGGATCCTTTAAATGCCTTTGTAAAATGCAACCTTTGAGAAGAGCTTGATGTGGTTCTTTAGTTTCTGTCCAATCTTTTATGCTAACATCTGAGAACTTATAGTGCGAAATGGTAATAAGCTTTAGCATCATATTTGTATCATTCTAATTTTATTTACTTATATTTATATATTCTTTGTAGAGACGATGCGAGATAAACAAAGTCAATCGAACAAAGCTGCAATCTAATCATTTCATGGGGTCAAGAGCTTTTGTAGCTGCTCGTGCTGAAATAGTAAGTTATACTATTTTTATTTTTTTGTAGCTTTTCCAATCTCTATGCTTGGTAGGCGAAGACTGAAATCTCAAGGGACATTTTTAATATTCAAAATGGTGAAAAAAAGAAAAGAACTTGCACATACTTTTAAGTATTGCCATTTTTCATTCATAATTCAAATCAAGTTAGCTTCTTGTTGCTGTTGTGCAAGTTTTCTTATTGCAATTGCTGAGTATTCTAGAGCTTGTTTGGCCTATTTATTGCTATCAACGCTCTGTTTGTGACTCGTTATTGGATTTCTAGTTTTCTTATATGGCATTTCGTGAACCAGTTAGCTTCTTTTGCTTTACTGATATCTGGTTTCCTCTTGTGAGGATCATCTGTCGTGTTGGCTCTGAACTCAATATTTGCACTGGGATCAATCACTTCTTTAACCACCAGTTTCCATGTTAATGCAGTTTCTGAGTGTTTTGATAACATAACTTAGCACTTAAAACTAGACATATAACTTGGTTAAATATTAGACATTTCATGCTCTTAAGTAGTAAATTACTAGAACTTGACTGTTAAGCTCTTATTATGTTTTGGTGTAAACTGGAACTTGTAAATAATGCTGAAATCTTGTTAGATCACATTTCCTAATTTATAGCCCCAACGTTAGTGCTGATACTCAATAAAACTTATGTTTTCTAAGAAAAAAGAAGTAGAAAACTTGATTCTCATCAGACATTCCATCTACTATACTTTTATATTTGAAGATTAATGTATCCACTGATTTAGTTAATATTTGATCTCTTCTCATACAGAAGGCATATCTTCTATGCAAAGCAGTTATTTTTATTTTATTTATGTTTGAGTTGTTCGAACTCGGAAAGTATTCCGCATCAGTTCTTCCTCTTCCTTTCTATTTGCTTTTTTTTTTGCTTGAGTTCTATGATCCCGGCCTACATTAGAAAGTCAGATATGTGGGATGAGAATCGCTAAAATGGGAGAAACATATCATTTGTATAAAAAATAGAGAACCTACTTAATGTGTAATACTTGACTCTCTGAAACTAACCTTGCCTCATATGTGTAAATATTTTCACAATCAGACACCAAACCTATTCATAAATAAGAATCTTTAATCTGTTTGTGTATGTTATACAATCATCTAGATATCATGCCCTCCAGTTGCCCATGTAAGAAAGTCGCACTTCTATTAAAGTCAACAAAGATCTGAATCACTGCTCTTTTTCCTTCTTTGTGTAGGGTGTGAAGGAACATGAAGGAGAAGAGCCAAATAGGATTAAGTTCTACAAAAGCACCCATTACTCGAGTGAAAAAGGATGGTCATCTCCAGAGGCTGAGACTAACTACGTAAGTAAAATATTTTAGTAACATGTCACATGTATTCATTCTATCTTATAATTAATTTAACTTATGTAATATTTTTATGTAGAACAAAATGAGAGATTTGAGAGCTCGGTCTATTTCTGAAGAGAATCCGATGACTATTGATGAAATTATTGATAATGTACTTGGTGCAAGGTCGGGATATATTAAAGGGCTTGGCTATGGTCCAAAGCCTAATACAACTACAACAACAAAAAGGAGGACAGCAGAATTAGAGGACTCTCTTAGGAGGGCAAAAGAGGAAGCTGCTACTGCCCAACATGGTTTACAAGAACGTTTGAATGTAGCTGAAACTGAGGTAGCAAATCAGAAGATACAGATACCGACATTAACTTCGGAATTGGGTACTCTTAGGGCACGCCAAGAGGAGATGTTAAATCAAATGCAACATCATTTTATTGGCTCATCACCATCAAGGTTAGAAGTACTACATCTTTAAATGACAAATTCAATTATAATTCTTTTAGCATCTAAGTTCGAATGTTTTTTTTATGATACATCGAAGATTGAGCTCCACCAGATTATCAACTTTGGGTACACTAAACTTCACACTATTTATTTATTTTCGTATCACAATTCAATTATTTGTTTCACCAATTAAACTCTACGTCTAACAAGAAGTTGTAGTTTATACCAATTATATTTTATTTATACCATGATACCATAAAGTATTAACGTAAATCTTAATTTTTTCTCTATCTTTTATACAGATATATGAAGGTAACTATTGGATTAAGACTAATTGCAAGTGAAGTGTCATTGCATTCCTCCACTTCTCAGTCCTAATTTAGGAGTAATATTTAGTATATTTCAATTCTCAGTGTTGGACATATTTACTTTTATTATGTTTCTTTTAATTTAAGAAGATTTTATTTCAATATAGTTTTAATATTAGTTTTATGATCAATGGTGAATATTTTTGTTACCTTTGATTTTTTTTATTTTTCTGTTATTACCTTGATTGTTTTATTATGTTATTTCAAATTCGTATAACGTCAATCTAAAACAAATACGAATATAAACGTCATCAAATATTTGTTATTAGTGACAAAAAAGTTCACTTTTGTATAGTTTTTAGGAATATCACATTTTCGTCACGAAACAAATTAAGTTCGTCATAAATTCACTATATTTAGTGACAAAAATAATTTATGTCCCAAAATGATCTTTTTATTGACTATGAATCAACTTTGTATTGACAATTGTAATTGTCGGTAATTATGATAACTTATAGTGATAACTTTGTTTTGTCGATAAAAATATTTTTTTTAGTGACGAGATGATAGTTTTAACTACAAAATTATAATTGTCACAAATTATATATTTAGGGACGAAATACCTTTTTGTAGATAAAAGGTAGGCTTTAGAGAAAAAATTACGGTTTTTCAACTACGAAACACACAGAGCTTTAGAGACATTTGACGTCGTCACTAATTAAACTAAATTTTTAGAGACGACTTTTTTCGTCGACATTAATGCACTTTTTAGTGACGAAATCATACTATTAAATATGATTTTTTTGTGCTTTTTATGACAAATAAATTCGTCATAAATATTATGTATTTGGGGACGAAAAAGAATTTCGTATTTAATACTTCATTATTTGGCGACGAAACACAAAGTTGCTTTTATATGTTATTAGTGACGGTATTTTAGAGAAGAAAGATTGACAACAAAAATTTCGTCACAAAAAATCTTTGGTGACGAAAAGTGAATCATAGGTGACAAAATAATTCATCATTGATAATCAAATTTGTTGTAGTGTTAACTTTAGAAAAAATACTTTTAATAAATACTACAACAACAACAAAAGTGCTTTTTGAAAAAATAAATCTTTCGGTTCAAGAAGTTCGTTTGCGGTTATGACTTCTATGAGTTTCATAAAGGGAAAATTTTATATAAGAACAATTGAGCTCTCTACTTTTCAATTTTATAGCTCATATTTCAATTTATAACCAACTAACCCAAAAATAATAGGCTAAAATTTAACATCCAACTCCAATAGGTTCTCAAAATTCCTATTTAATTTTTTAAAAAAGATTGTCCAAGCTTTTAAGTTAATTTTCGAATCAGTAACTGTGACTCAAATATTAGTTCAACGAACCAAATTTATTTGGGTGGTGAAAATTAAATTTTTAACAAGCTTAAATATGTGAGTTTAAATTCCGAGTTTGATGTGAGAAATTTGGAGTGGGTGTTATCTAGACTTGTTAGAAATAGTAAGGAGGTTGTATATAAAATTTGAAGTCATTTGATGAAGATTTGGACTGATTTTGAACAAGAATTGCAACTGAAAATCGTGGAAGAAGTTCGTCTACAGACATTTGTATAAATGTGTATAAAAGTGTATAATAGTGTATAAGATGTGTTTATACACTCATATACACTATTATACAGGATTATACATAATTATACAAAAACTGACTTCGTCTTCTTCCTTGCGTCTTTTCTGAAATTTAACTCAAATCTTGCTCAAATCTACTCCAAATTACTTCAAATTTAAATTTTGAACTCCTTTTGATATTTTCAATCAGTTGAAACGACACTCAATCCAAACAACTAACAAACTCAAAAACTTCTATTTTCGAAAGCAAAGCTTTGAATGACCTTCAATGGTGGACTTCAACTCTTCAATTCTTTTACATTGCAACCAAGTGACATAGAGGAAGAAGCAATAATAGAGGACGGCCTCTTGAAAAATATGTAAAAGATGTGAGAAGAAGAGAGAGAGTGAAAGCAATGGTTGTGAGAACATAGATTTAACTTCAGAGCTTTTATAAGTAATGGTTGTAAGAACACATATTTTGAATTTGCAGAGCTAGTGTTTTCAAAATATGTACAATATAGGCTAGGTCGGATAAAACTTAAAAATATGGGTCATTATTTGTTATGATGTGAAGCCATATGTATTTTCTTGTAATTCATAAATGGTATCGATCCGTTGTGCCTATACGCAGCAATTTTTTCGTTATCCTCATGACGTGTTCTCCTTTAATGCAGAGTATAGAAACTAGATTCCTTTTGGTATTTGGAAATGTTATTTCTTTACAACCTTGTTTCATTAGTATCCAGTCTTCTATACTTACAGTTATAGGTGTCTCAAATTCATCAGATTCTAGCTAGCCAATTATACTTCTATTTTGTTTCCCACGAGCATGTTATACTAGTTTATACATTACCTACAAACAGTATTTTTGGATCCTAGCTAATTGAATTGTCACTGAAATGTTACGAAGCAGAGGCGGATCCAGAATTTAAATTTTATGGGTTTCTGTCGCAATCTCAAATTATATACCATAATAACTGGGTTCACCGTTACATATTTATAAATATTTAGTAAAAATTTTAATAAAAATACATGATCTATGCAAAAGTTACTGAGTTTTCAGGAACTCATACACTACACTCTAGATACGCCCCTGTTATGAAGTCCTAGTTACATGTAATGGCCTATGCCACAGATGTACATGTAGGAATAATTGGAACCTTGAAAATAAATCTTGACATATGAGATTCCTATCTATTACTCCGAGTATGTTTCTATAAGGCGCTTGATAACCAAAATGTTAAGATGATAGAGTTAATGCCGTCTACAATACATAGTATTTGATCAATTGATGACTTAGTTAAAATTTCTTTTCTTAATTATTGTTATCATCAAAACTGGTAGGTGATTGGTGAACCCTAGGGATAACAAAATTTAAATTCCATTATGCGGACGGGTAAATTAGGTTACAAAGATCTGCAAACAGATGTTAGAGCAGGAAAAGAAAATAAATCGATAGAAGTGAAGCTAGAGGCCTGGCCTGGGGAAGAGGCTAGAGAAGGGGAAAGGGACAGATGATCTGATAACTACAGTACAATCACTTTCAATAGGGGCACAAGTCATTTTTTAACCATAGATCATATGCTAGCAAGGACATAATAGCATCAATATATAATTCATCAAAACTAAGATATTACTAGCTACTTAATTATTTTTCTGTGGTTGTCTGGTGTGCACTCAATCATCTAGGCTACGTACTGTTTATGTGTAGATCAAGCATCCANGTTAGAGAATCTGAATTAAATAGAAATGATTGTGTAACGTTTCTTTTAAATATTATTTATTGCTCATAATTGTTTCATTAAGACAAAGACATTATATCTTATCCTAGAATCAACTATAAAAGGGGAAAGACTAAACATCTGTAAGGACATGAAATACGATTGAGATCTTACTGAAAGACAAAACTATTTACTGCTTTACCATCATTTTCAAAAATATTTTATTTTCGTCTCCTGATTATCAGTAACCCGAATTTCTTTCTAGCTTTGACC